CTTATTGGCATTTTATTGAAACTTGGGAAATAAAAGTGCCATACAAAAGGAAGAATTTAAAATCAATGCAACCAAACAAAACATACACATACGATGCGACCGCAATGGGCTATCACGCCAAGCAATTCTGAGCCTTGTCCTCTCAAATCTGTACCGCTTTTGCTGAGCTTCTGTAAGATTATTCTACTCTCTGCCTTCAAATCACATGCTAAATTTCTCAGCTTTCAGTTTCTCTTCTGCAGTGGTTGTTGGTGATAAGAAAATTGTTATTTTGTTCTTTTGAAATTGAGAACTCTACCTCTGCTTTGCTGATCCCTGTCCTTTTCTACAAAACTCCCACAATTCCACAGCTGGGTCCCCCCATATTTGTCCTGAGACAGGAGAACTGGGGCCATGTCAAGAATAATATACCTCTGAGTTTATGGGTATAGTCTTTGCAGGCAGTCTTTCTTTCTTTGGTAAGAAAAACAATGCATCTGACTGCTTTTTCAAAGAGATGAAAGGATGCTAAGCCTCCAGTATGGAGCTGGGTTGGGCTGGTATCCTTCCACTAAGAACCTTCAAGGGAAGCCCTGAATCTGTGGCATTAGGGAATGACAGAGCACCACCATTTTTGACACCATTTTTAGTGGTGTCACTGCCTATACATTGGCAGAAGATTGGGACATCTGAGCCACTTTGCACCAAGGGTCATAAATGAGATGGATCTATTATTGGATGTAGTTTTCTGAGCATGCTTGAACCCTTCCTATAATACTTTAGTGGTCTCTGGCCACACTTTAGGAATTGCTGCTATAAAGAGTAAACGATTAAAAGGCTCACTGAAGATAATATTTGATTATTCTTTTACAGAATTTTTAAAAAGGGAAGAAGAATATCTCTGAAGGCTTTGCCATGGATAGAAACATTGCTGTAAAAATCACATATAAAGAGACTGGGATAGTTACATAGATTTACATAGATTATAAAGCAGAAGTTTCCAGACAGTTAAATGTTACTGTTTTTTATAGGCCTTTAATTTATAATCCCACATGAAAAGGCAAAATCAGAACCTTACTTGGAAAGCAACACTGTAGTCCAATTATAACAGATCATTAAATGGGACATTTCATATTTGATTGGAGAATACTAAAAACAAAAACAAAAAAAATTGCTGTGTACTTTATACAGATTCTAAAGAAAATATACAATCATTTATAGTGTGTTGGCATCATTTCATAAACCATGAGCTTGTTTTATTGAAGAGCTTAAACTACATATCTCCAGTATATATAAACCTTACAAGAATTAGTTCAGAGACATGATGATTTTTGGAATGAAAACAAATCTTCACATGGTACTAAATAAATATGTATTAAATGTGCAAATGTTTAGTTACTATCTGCATTTAAATTAATATTTTCCTCTTGCTAACAGCCAGCCAATTTCCCCCCCAAATATTTACAGTTTTACTAATTCAGCTACTTGATATTAATAGATTGGTATAAGGTAGTGGAGTAGATACTGAATATGAGGAGCAAAGTGGAGTTTAATCAAGTAAGGCAGAAGTAAGACTGAACTTCTGAAGAAAAGTTAATGCAAAGCTAAGGGTAATGCCTCTGTTGCACAGTGTTGAACTTGCTCTTCAACTAATTTGCAACAGCAAATCTTTCCTACCTGGTTGGCTTTTATTTTTACTCAGTGCAACTTCTTAAATTAGTTCTGACTTTGTGACTTTTAAATGTACCTTCCTAATTGATCTCTCTTGTTTTTTTCAGCCACCAAAAGTTATTTCTTTTATCTTCCCAACCTAATACCACTTCTAAATTTGGTACAGGATTCAATCTGCATGTGGTAGACCAGCCCCACTCTCCCTTTAAGACTGTAAGCTGAGTAGTTATGACTTAAACACCAGCTACAGTTCCATTTTTCTTTCAGTTATTATCTTCAAAATCTTATGAGCTATTTTGTACATTCTGAACTGATCTATTCACTATCTTGCCTTAATATATATATTTGAGGTTGTCTTTTCTCTCACACTCTTGGTCACTTGGCTAGTTTTGTTTTCACTGGCTAGGTGAGGACCAGAGGTGTTATCTCAGCATGCTTTTTAGTAGCTTTGACTAGTACCACCAATGTACCATTTTCTGATGAAGAGAGATCTGGACACAATCATTCAAAGCTTGTAATGGCAGTATCTTCTTTCTGCTGTAGTCCCATAATATTAACTTCATCTCATCCCCCACCCTGAGGGAAAAAGGCTTAAGACACTAATGCTAAAGTCAAGTTCCCCCCTTTATTCTGTTAGGCATATGACCATGGAGGAAAGGCATAAGACTATAGTTACTGGGATCAGAGACAATAGAGGCAGATTCAGGATCAGCAACGGAGATGCCAAATTTCATGCCATTTGAGAAACATCCTACATGCTCCACGAGGGGCTATTCTGGAAAAACTTCAAAAACATCAGTTTCCAAGGTTCTTTTGACTGGAAATAGTTATTTAAAATTCATTGTGCCCGTGTTTTTGTAATAACTGATTACCTTTTTGTTTCCAGTCTGATTTCTAAGTTTTGGACCTTTTGTTCCAAATCCCAAGTATGGTTTAAGCAAGGTCTTTTCTCTTGTGGAATCAATTCTCCAAAACTACCTCTTGAGGAAAAATGGCCAGATCCCATTTCACAGATTCTTCCATCATCTAACTAAAATTCCTTTTAAAGCAGGCTTTCAGGTCTCACTGGATTTCACTCTGTTGTGGGTCTTTATTTTTTAAAATGTACCTGCTACTTTTTATATATGCCACTACAACTGATTTTTGAAGGTTTCTAATTTTGTTGCATTTAGTCTATTAGTTGAACTGCTGTCAGAATTCTTATCCTCAAGATCTGAGCCATTTGGAAAACGCCATCTCTTTGCAGAATCTTGCAAAACAGTTTTCTTTTGGGTCACCCATTTTAGTTGTAGTTGTTACTCTATTTCCTTCAGGAAAATTGCACCTTTGTAATTTGAACTTTTGATATATTTTATGTTATTGTTTTAATATTTGGTTATGGTTATCCTTGGTCTAAAGTTTATGAAAACTATGCTTTCTATTTCATTTCTACCTGATTTTTTTTCAGAAACAAAATATAGAAATTCCCTCTCTCTCTCTCTCTCTCTCTCTGTCTCTATATACAGTATATACTGTGTGTGTGTGTGTGTGTGTATAAATAAAACTTGCTGTTAGCTTTTTAAGGTAAAGCATGGTAACAGTAATAACAATGATGACAAAGTATTCTTTTGCAGGAAATAACTGCAATTTCAGCTTTCTTAAATGATCAACCAATTAACTGCATTGTAAAAATTACAAACTTAGATACAGTTTCAAACAAGAATATAGCTTACTGAACTTAATTTGAAGATGTATTGATGGGAATCAGTGGTTTAAGGATTTTTCAGACATGTTTTATTATTATACATACACATATATATACAGTACATGCATATACCTATCATAACATTCTCTTTCAATGTAAGCAACATTATGCAAAGTGCAGAAAGAAATTAAGACATTGTAAGCCAAATAAATTAAAGGCATGATATAAAAAAACCTAAAAAGAAATATAGTTAAATATATTTTTATGTCTATCCTATTGACTCTACTTCTCCGTACCTTTCTATCCTTGCAAGCCATCCTTGCTTCTTCCACACCCATACAAGTTTCATGTATGGTATTTTGTTCTTTAAATTTCTCACTTCTCTTTGAGGATCTCATCAGTTCCATCCAACCATGACTTTCTCAGAGTTTTTGTTGCTCTTGAACCATTCACTCTTTCATCATGTATTTGTTTTGTCATTCAGTCATTATTTCTCTCTGTATGACTAAACAACCTCAACATACTTCTTTCATACTGATCATTTGTTTTTGTATTCAATCCACACTGATTTAGCACCCATTCATTCTCAACCCTATTTTTCCAGACATATTGTTAAAGTGTCCCATTCCCATGCATTCCATATGCTTTTCTGTTTCTCCTGACATACCCAAATCTTACTTCCCTATAACAAATCAGGCAGTAGTATGTTCTTATACATAGCCATTTCCCCATCTTTTGACAAACATTCATTCTTCATAACAGACTACCCACTACCCACTAATTTTCTGCCAGGACTTACACATCTTAAAATTTCTTTACCCATTTCCCCATCTTTAGTAAACATTCAACCAAGGTATGCAAATTCTACTTGCTGAGTAATGATTACTCAGGCTAGTATGTTGCTTCAATCACAACCAATTCTAAGCTGTGTACATCCCAACTCAGTAAATGTATTAAATATACAACAACAAAATACAAATGTTAGCACCATTTAAATCATACTACACTAAGGAATAACATGTCTAAACCAGATAAAAATAACTTTTTGCAGTAGTGATTCCACCCCTGAAATCACTCAAGACTTCCTGAAATAACCAGGACTTAATGACTTTCCTCACTCTTGGAAGACCTGAGGGACCAGGCTGGGGACAGATCATCATGGAGAAGAACTATTTATCTGATTGCTAAAAGTCAACACCAACTTGGCAGCACGTAGTCAATCAATGACTTCCCTAAACACCAACAGGATCTAATCTCAGGGAGAATGCTGTTCCACAGAAGGGGAGCAGCAACAGAAAAATCCTGTCTTCATGGCCCTTGATGATAATACTCCTTTAGATTAGGGCGCAAAGGTATCTCCATTCTAGACCTTATTGGATGGGCAGATATCATTGGGAATAGGCAATCCTGATGATACCCAAGTCCTGATCTATGTAGTACTTTAAAGGTGACAACTGGCATCTTGAATTACACCCAGAAGTAAAAGTACTGATGTCACATGAGTGAAATGATATGCTATGTTTTCAGAACAGCAAAAGTTCTCCTGGCCATAGCTGCCTCTTGCTCCTTAAGCAGGAGCTGTAAGTTTCAGAGGACACCCAAATTACAAACCAGTTCAGTACAAGGTTTCCAGGACCAAAAATGGAATATACCCAGCCTCAGTTGGTTTCCAAAACCAGAGCTATTCTTCGCTGGGATTGAGCCTGAGTCTGTTCCTTCCCATCCAGACCCTCACAGCCTCCCAACATGGGGATAGCACTTTGACTGCATCTCCTGTTTGGTTCAGAGGCCAGATACACAACTGAGCATATAGGAGTGAATAGGGAAGGAGAAAAAGTTGAGTGTGTGGCACTCTACCATGAAAGACCTTAGATCTTGACTTTCTTCTCCTACCACTACAGACTGTAACTGGCCATAGAAGGAGGAGAAGCACTACAAAACAGTGGTCCCCAGTCCCAGCCCTAAAGACAGTCCTGAAATACTATATACCATGAATAATTCTTTAACAAGTGGCTGTTTGTGTATCTATGTGTATGTGTGTGACTGATTGGAATGGGTCACTTGAGCCCCAGAGATAGGAAGAGGCAACAGTTCCTGACACTGAGAGATGGACCACTCATAGCCTCTAACTTAACAAAAGAAAAAAGCAGTCTTGCTCTCTTTCAGTTCAAGACTGAATATGAAGTTGTACAAATTGCTCCCACTGGGTTAGCACACAGCTAACACTAAATCCTGACTTGCTAAACCACAATTTGGCAAACCAGAATTGTTATGTCTGAGCTGGAAAATTGTATTTATTTTGTGGGTATCATTACAGGTAATATATGCTAGATCTCTAAGTGTTTTAGAGAATCCATCCTTTAATGTTATGCAGGAGAAGAAGGGAATTTGAGAACTGAATGAAAAAATAAATTAATCCAGATACTAAAACCACTTCTTAAAATACTGTTTTTCTATCATTTGAGGAAACCTGATTTGAATGCAGAAAGAGAAGGAATTCTATTTATATAAGCTAATTGTTTCAAAGACTCCAAAATGGGAGAGCTAAGGTAAAACTCATAACACAAATTTGTAAATTTTAAATTAATGATGGGTTGAATTACATTTTATGTTATACTGTATGTACTTCTCTCTTTTTAGAACTGACAATGGAGATAAGTGGTAGATAATTTCTGCATTTTAGGATCAGCCATTAATAGTAAAGGAACCAGAAGTTAAGAAATATGTCACAGACTAGCAATTGGCAGGGTAGCAATGAAGGCCTTGGAAAAAATATTAAGATGCTATGATGTGGCTATATCTACAAAGATTAAAATCATGCATGCGATGGTTTTCCCTGTGGTACTCTATGGAAGTGCAAGTTGGACTTAGAAGAACCAGGATAGAATGCTTTTGAACTTTGGTGTTGGAAAATACCCACAGGTACCCAAGAAAACAAAAACAAACAAAAAAAGATCATCAAACAAATCAACCCACAGTTCTTGCCTGAGGCACAAATGAATAGGCTCAAATTATCATATCTTGGACACATCAGGTAAAGACCTTGCTGTAATGCTGGGAAAGGTGGAAGGAAAGAGAAGAACAGGACGACCAGCAGCAAGGTGGATGGACTCGGTTACAGTGGCAGTGGGTGCACCATTAGAAAACCTGAAGGACCAGTAAGGACAGATTCTCCTGGAGACTATCTAGTCATGTGGTTGCACCAACTTGATGGCACACAATCAATCAATCAATCAATCAATCAATCCTCTTCTTCCCTGAGTAATGAGAGGCCAGCAGAAGCACTATCTGTTTAAATTAATATGCATGAGAGAACATTGGAGACGTTAAAAGAATTTGCTTTATACACAAATGCAAAATAATAAAAGGCAATAATAATAATAATAATAATAATTATTATTATTATTATTATTATT